TGGGTAGAAGTGTCTGAATGAGTTGTCAATGAGATCAAAGACGAAGAGGAAATAACTGGGGATGAAATAACGCTTAAGGATTCACTAGGAAATGCGGCCACCGAGGAAGTGGATAAATCAGAAGAAACGAAAGGTAAGGAAGTAGTCGAAATAATTGATGATAATGCTGGTGTGGCTTCAAGAACAGTAGTCAGTTCTATGACACTTGAGTTCCATGGAAGTCTTCTGGAACTGCTGGGTGTTAAAGTAGCAGAAGACAAAGAANTCAGTACTGGGGTACTCTGAACGCTGGATGAAACAACACTAGGAGAGACTGGAACTTCAATTATCACAGTATCAACGCCATCAGTACCAGTAACGGTAGTAGAAGTAGTGTAACTTCCGGTCCATTGGGAGGTAACTGAGANAACCGATTTTGGAGCGGGAATTTCAATCACCAATGTGTTGGTTCCATCGGTACCGGTTCTGGTAATAGTGTTGGTNAAAGAACCAGTCCATGAAGCAGAAACAGTGGTGGTTGCAACTGGAACCTCGATGATCACAGTATCAACACCATCAGTGCCAGCGACAGTGGTAGNGGTTGTATAACTACCAGTCCATGCAGAAGTAACTGTGGCCTCAGATCTTGGTGCTGGAGTTTCAATCACCAAGGTGTTAGTCCCATCAGTACCGGTTCTAGTAACAGTGTTGGTGAAAGTACCAGTCCATGGAGACGTTACAACAGCAGTTCTGAATGGCAAAAGTACAATCAAGGTATCCAAACCATCTGNNCCAGTTGCGGTAGTTGAAGTAACAAAACTACCAGTCCATTGGGTACTGATGGTGGTAGTATGTGGAACTGGTGTTTCAATCACAACGGTGTTGGTGCCATTGCCAGTTCTAGTCACAGTAGTGGTGAATGAGCCACTCCAGCCTGATGAGACGGTAGTCTCAGGAACAGGTGTTCCAGTGATCACAGTGTTGGTGACATTACCAGTAGTAACTGTGGAGGTGAATGAGCCAGTCCATCCACT